GGTTTCGCCTGGGCTCCCTTGCTGGAGGGTCCCGATCAGGACCAGAGCCACCCTGGTGGGGTGGTGAAGAAAGTGGGGAATCGCCTGGAGGGTCCAGAAGAAACCAGAACAGCCGAGAAAAACAGCAGCACAAGAGTCAGGATAGAAACAGAGGGGCATGTGAGTCCATCCATCCATCAGCCTTTGATGATTGGCAGGTTCAGGAAGTCCAAAAAACAAAACATAAAAACGCCCCACCAAGCTCACGGATACATGGGCACAGCGCCACCTTCTGGCACATGGGAATCAAACCCTTATTTATGGGGGGAAAGCGAAAGGCACACCGTCTTTTACTGACCCCTTTCCACCCTCGGGAACTATCCTGCGCCTGCAAAATCAGGAAAAAGGGAAGCAAATTGCCGGTGAAGTTAGGTTTTATTAACAATAACTTCAGGATCTGATGGTCAGGGAAGCTGTACACCCTAAATAAATAGGCCCAGGAAAGTCAGGGCAACAGCTGGGCCAGGAGTGACCTGAATTGAATTCTTTATTGGCTAAGTGTGATTGGACACACAAGGAATTGGTCTTTGGTGCAAATGCTCTCAGTGTACATAAAAAGAAAAGATACATTCATCAAGAGTCAAGAATCATCAGGTACAACACTTAATAATAGTCATAGGGTACAATAAGCAATCCAATCATACTAGGAAATGGTCAAGGAGGGAAGGAAGGAGGATGGGGGGAAGGAAGAAAAGAAGAAAAGAGGGAAGGAAAGAGGGAGGAGGAAAGGAAGGAAAGGGAGGGAAGGAGAGCAATAGCACTTAGACTTATATGCCGCTTTATAGTGCTTTCCAGCCCTCTCTAGGGGCTTTAGAGTCAGTCTCTTGCCCTCCAACAATCTGGGTCCTCATTTTACTGACCTCAGAAGGCTGGAAGTCTGAGTCAACCTTGAGCCAGTCAGGATCGAACCGCTGGCCGTGGGCAGTCAGCCTGCAACGCCATAAACTAATTACACTGCGCCACTACGGCCCTTATAAGACGCTTACCTCCGTCTCTACCTGTTGTTGAGTTCGGTTGTGGTTCTCCTTGTACTGGTTGGCCCTAAGTACCTGCTGCTCGATGCCCAACAGGACAGCTTCGCACCCATCGCACCTGCCAAGACAAAACTCACACCGTCACCGACGGAGCAGGAAAGCGGCAACGCTGCCTGAATTGCGGGAGAGGGGAGACGCCCCCACAAACAGAACCTGTCGGGGCAGAGGGAGGCAGGGAGAGAAAGGCACAGCTCACCACTCGTTGAGGGTTTTAATGACGTTGCTGATGTCTTTCCTTTGGATGTCCCGGCCGATGCAGAAATCCACTTCCAGCACTTGGTTCCGTTGGTCCAGTTTGCCTTGGATGATGTCGGTGTAAACGGCTTCGATGATCAGGTCTTCCAGCTCCCGGAGGTTCCGCATGTCCAGGTCTTTCAGCAGCACTGAATAAGGGATGCACTGGGGAGGGGGCGGAACAGCCGGAAGTGAAGCCAAAAGCCCTTAGGCTTACACAGCTCCTCCTCGATGTACGGCAGTCCATTTAGCGGCCGTTCAAAAGTACAACACCATTGGGAAAAAAAAGCGGCTTTATAAGCAGGGGTGGGATTCCAAAATCCCAGCAACCGGTTTGCTGCCCAGTTGCTAGGTGGGTGTGGCCTACTGGAACTTCTGGGAGGGCCGTTTTCTGCCTTCCCCAGAATCCGGAGGCTTCCCTCGGGCCTCTGGGAGGGCGAAAACGGCCTCCCCCTGGCTCCGGAAAACGGAAACAGCCCGTTCCTGGACTTCCAGAACCTCTGGAAGGGCTGTTTTTCACCTTTCCCAAGACTCCATGGGGGCCCTGAACTTACCTGCATCCAAAACGGGCCACGTGGAGACTCCTAGGAGGGGAGGGGAGGGGTAGATAGGGCCAGCCAGTTGGTTCAACTACCGGTTCGGTGAACCAGATATAAATTTAACATCCGGTTCGCCCAAACTGGGCCAAAGTGGCTGAATCCCACCGCTGCTTATAAATCTCGCCCTTACCTATTATAATTTTAAACCGTAACACTTTTGCTGTAATCTACACACACACACACACACACACACAGACACACACACACACACACCCCTCCTTCCAAGATGGCTGGCTGGGTTTTCTGCCCGGGACATCTTTTCCAGAAATTGCATTTAAATGCAGAAAACAATGTATACACAATTAACGCTTGTATTTTAAAGGAAATTTGATTATCCTCAAGTACGGTTCTCAAAAAGTTTAAAAATGAATTCAAATATTAGACAGCGAGATTTATTCAAGCTAAGAAGCATTTTCAGAGTGGCCCAGCCATGTATTCTTTCGCCGCCTGCATTCTGTGGAACGCCAAGTTAAATTTCGGTCGGTAGCTAGTGAAAATAAAGTTGGAATTTCTTCCCCACCCAAGTTCCCGAGTTCCCTGAAATCAATCCACAACAAAACACCGGTTTACAGGAATCTAAAGGAATCTTCCACTGTCCTGGAACTACAACTCCCTGCTTGGGTGGGGTAAACATTTTGATCTCAATACATCCGGAGGGGATCAAGCGGATAGAGTGACTTCTCTCACTGAGAAGCGGAGAAGCTGGCCACGCGGATCTTGACCTCGGCTAGCTAGCAAACTACGGCTAGGAAGGAAAAATGCTTCAGGCTAGTCAGCACCCTGAAGCCCTCCTCTGACCTTTTAATTTTATTTTATTCTTGTGTTTAACTGTTTTTATTGTAGTATTTAAATATGGCTTTTGTGTCTTTATGGTTTCATGTGTAATACCCAATTGCCCTATGAAGGAGAAAGAAAGAGAGAGAGAGAAAGAGAGAGAGAGAAAGAAAGCAAGGGAGAGAAAGAGACAGAGAGAGGAAGGAAGGGAGAAAGAGAGAGAAAAAGA